TTACTTATTTCATTCAATAATTCATATTTTATATCAAATTTCAACGATCCAACCATTAAATTTAAAATTTCTTAATATATAAATTAATTAAGTATGAAAATTTAAAAAAAATTAAAAATTACTTGATATTTCGTTTTATTAATTCAAATTAACGTATAAAATAATTTTATGATCACCCATCAATTTGAATTAATGAAATGAAGTATCAAATGATTTTCAAATTTTAATTTTTTTTCAAATTTTATCTACGCATTAAGAACTTTAAATTTAATGATTGGATCATTAAACACGCGCGTGCACACACACACACATATATAGAACTAGAAAACAATAAAAATTTTAAGTTGTTGATTAAGCAACAAACTAGCTATATCAGAACAACCTCAACCAAACACAATTTCATCTTATGCATGACTCAACATCTTGGTCGCCCTCCCACCTAATTCTAATCTACTTTAATAATATGATTATCATAACCCAACAACATTGAAAAGTAAGGTTAAGCCTATATACAAAGAAACATCATATAATATAGAAGCAATATAGCTAATTATGTAAACAACATCACAACTACTCAACGATAGTCAAAAAGCTCAACTTCGACAACATAAAATAACACAAGTAATCACTCATCAAATTAACTTCATAGCATTTATATATAAGCAACAACTTTACAACTCATCATATAACTTGACAACTTAACAACAAAACATCTTTATGCATCATCACACAATTCAAGTAACCTCTTACAACATAGGTGAACAATTTAAGTTGTTTGATCCTACCAAATCAACAACCTGGAAAGACTCATAGTACTTAGGTCATACAACCTAGTTTTGGATAGCAATCCAATATTTACACAATAACTATTTTTCATATTTTACCACTTAAATTAGGAAAGTTCGATACCATCATTGGGTATAATACAACTTTGGTATGAGTCTGACATGACATTGGCATGCATTAATCAAGTCACTTGTGAAATTAGTCCATTAACTATCCTTTCGATACCACATGCCCTTTTAGTAATTAGTTAGAGATTTTACCCATTGACTTCATATATTACTTAATCAGTCACTTATTAAGAAGTATGGCTCAACTAAAGATCTAGAGAAGACTTAACACTTCACTTCAAGAGGCAACTTACTCCATAAAAGGTTTTCAACATTAGGCTCCCAAAGCACCATAACACATATCTACATAATGAGATATTACAACTTTCAAAAATAACAGTTGCTACTTTATTCTTAAGTTCAACAACACCATTTAATATCATGCATTGTGCATCTTCTCAATACAACTCATCTCAACATAGCATCTCTACTCATTTAACACACAACTTACACCACTTGGAAATATTATCCATTTCAACTTAAAAAAACTTAACATACCTCACTTCAACTTTTTACAACATGATTCATTGGTCATAAGCAACATAGTACAACACAACTTCATAATAGTTCAATTTTCAACTTCAACATAGTATTTAAAAGCATAAAATTAACATAAAAAGTCATGAAACATGGCTTTCACTAGGCGAGAGTAATCTCGTTGGGTTAATTGAGCTCACTAGGGCTTCTTACTCGACGACACTACTAACACTCATCGAAGGGAACACTCTATGCCTTTCCTTGTTAGGTAGGTTTTTTGCTCGTTGAATGATCAAACTCCTATAGAGAATTGCTGGGCGACCAAGAGCTCACTGAGCGAATAAAACCCGTTGTGGGTTCTCTCATTAGGAGACGATGGCTTGCTAAGTGAGCAAAACATATAACACTAACTTTTAAATATGAACTATAATTATTTAATTTAAATATCCTATAACACTGAAATAAATCGAGATAAAGAAAAGATAAGTTTATTTATTACACATACATTTGATCAGACGTCATTACCATGTAACATTCTTACCATAACTATTTTAGAAAAGAAGGAAAGGTATTTTTTATTTATTTATTATCTACAACCTCCCTTTATATTACTTATGTTATTTTACAATAACAGATGTTATGTATTATATAGTGGGTTAACATGATTTGTTGGTATAAAAGTGAATATGATAATCATAAGACCATCAAGGATGATTTGCATTGAATTGTTTGGAAGTGTTATTATTGAAAAACATTGTCCTATAAAAGTGACGTTATTGTTTTGCATATCCATTGTCCACTACAATTTAGGGAAAACGTTGTGTACCAGTGTGGTGAAAAGGCCAATATTAAGTGAATCCATCTATTTAATTAATTTACAACTAAATGTTTTTTTTAAAGAAAACCAAAGAAATCAAAAGACACAAAAAGAGAACATATATCATATAAATCAAATAAGTAATAAAATATATATATATATATATATATATTTAATTAAAAATTTTAATTCTACTACATGGAGAAATTTTACACCAACATCCTCGTGTTGATGATCATCTGCAACACAATTTAAACATATACAAAGAATAACAAGAGTGAGAAACATCTCACTCGGTCTAGGTGTAGAAATAAAACTTAGGCAACACACACACGAATCATAACAATCACAACCATAACTACACATTATTCAGGTGTAAATTCAAATTATACATACAACAGTAACACATGCACAGTCATTCATCATAGAATGATCTCATGGACTCGACTCATAAATGCATGCGGCGCCAGTACGTGTCTCATAATCACATTTCTCATCATTTCATCACTGGTGACCCAAGGTACACCTTGTTAGCTTGTTACATCACCGGTGACCCTAAGGTACACCTTGTTAGCTTGTTACATCACCAGTGACCCTAAGGTACACCTTGTTAGCTTGTTACATCATCAGTGATCCTAAGGTACACCTTGTTAGCTTGTTACATCACCGGTGACCCTAAAGTACACCTTGTTAGCTCATATATGCACATGATGCATGTCACACATTCACGATTTCATTGACTTAACATTTCACTTATCACGTCTCATCATATCT